GAATGAATGAATGGCTGGACGCAGCCTCTTGATTTTTACTTCTGCGCTGCGTTGGTCTGCCCTGTATCCCTGGCCCATGGTGCACACAGTCCCCCTCGTGGTACTTGCTGGACCGGACTGGTACTTTCTAGACTCTCCCATGACTGCATGGCGACTACCCTACGACGCAGTGCAGTTGCACTGGGGTCCTACTATTTGCCCTTGCCACTTGTCCTCGTCTCCAACATGGGCTTGCTTTAGTCACACCACTTGGCCACTTGCCTGCACCACTTGACCACTTGCCAACCTTCTAGAAGGACTGCAGCTAGCCATCTAATCTACAGGTCTACGTATTGAATCCTGGCTACCTATAGACCTACGACAGACCTACCTACCACTGGCGGTTCTACAGGTCGCAGGTTCAACTCTTCGAGTTGACGCAGGTATTGTACACAGGTAAGTTGGGGAACTAGGGATCGAGCCCTGGGACCTGCCTCAGCTACCACGAATTGGTGAATACCGTTTCAATATGGCTGTTTGACTTTTTCTCTGCATGGAGGTGGCTGCTTCTTTTGGGTGTTAGTTCACTTTCACCATTTGTGGGGTTTCAATTTCTATCGGTTCGTCGAAGAAGGGTTAACAGAGCTTCAATTTCTGTGGATTCCTATAAGAAACCCTTCTACAACGTCCTCAGAGAAACACTTTCAGTACAGGATGAAACACAGGAAGTGGGAAGAACATGAAGAAAATGAAGAATGGACTGTTCAGACCTCAAAGCTTTTAGCAGGCAGGGAACTCGTAAGATTCTTCTGACAAGAGAGGCAAAGTTGTAACTGTAAGGCTATGCATAAGGCAATGGCTGTTTCCACCCCATTACTCCACTCTACATGAAAGAAGAATGATAACAGAGTCGTAAGCCAGTAATTTTGTGGGCAAAATCACCGATTCTGTTTTGTTTATGGGTATTTTGTCTTGCAGGAGCAACGTACTCCATGGTCAAAGGTCCTGCTGGTCATCTTGGCCTTGTGACAATCCGGATGCACCCAGAGGAACCTGATTGGGTAAGTGATTGGGAGTGAAGGAGCTGTTGTTGTTCTTAATTGAAGTTCTTTGAGTAACAGCTTCCATGAAGGGTGCAAAGGCAGCCAGATGCATGGTTCTGGCCCCTTAGAAAAGCAGCTTTTGTTGGGAGTGGACCATGCCAGGAGATGAAAGGTGCTATTTTTGTGCGTCTGCTGGTCTAGAAAATGTCCTATGCTGCCAACTGGCTTTAAGCATTTTGAGAAAGCATTGACAGGTCCACTGGCACACATTTTGAAAGCCTTGAGAGCAACCTAAGTGCTGGAGGTTCTGGCTACGGTGGAAGTTCACCGTCGCTGATGCCGCAGCCGAGGGCCTCTAGTAGTAGCAGGTTGTGGGCCAGGAGATGAAAGGTGCTATTTTTGTGCATCTGCTGGTCTAGAAAATGTCCTATGCTGCCAACTGGCTTTGAGCATTCTGAGAAAGCAGTGACAGGTCCACTGGCACACATTTTGAATGCCTTGAGAGCAATGCCAAGTGCTGGAGGTTCTGGCTATGGTGGAAGTTCACCGTCGCTGATGCCGCAGCCGAGGGCCTCTAGTAGTAGCAGGTTGTGGGGAATGGTGCTGCCTTTAGGAAAGCCTTGAAGCTTGGGAGACAGTAGCAGGTTGTGGCTAATGGTGGTGCCTTCAGGAAAGAGCTGGAGCTTGGAAGAAAGGATTCTGGCATAACACCAGTTGCAACTACGAGGAAAGCCAATCAGCCATTGAGCTGATCTTGAAATCCTCAGTTGGATTTCAGGAGATTTCAGTATGTTTGGAGCTTTTCGACTCAATGTTAGAGTTTTGTGGCAGCAGATTCAGGTGTTTGATTCTCAGGATGATGAACTTGTGTACTCCATCAGATAGTCACACGATAATTGGGGGTGGGTCAGGAGGGGAGTTCTGTGCAATACCAGCCGATGTTCAAATCCTCAATTGGATTTCACGATGTTTGGAGCCTTTTGGCTCAATGTTTGAGTTTTGTGGCAGCGGATATAAGTGGCTGACTCTTGAGGATGATGAACTTGTCCACTGGATGGAGTGAAAAAAAAGAATAATTGGAGTGGAGGAAGAGGAGGAGAGTTAGTGAGCAGGAGGAGAACTTACAAATGCATGTTGGAAATCTTCTTCATGATTTCTTAGTAGTTCACACTTAGTTGCTTGCCATCTTGGGTTGAATGCAATCTGGTTGGCATTGGTGTGAGGCTTGCAGACACATAGATGTATTGGCATGAGTTGAACTGGTCACAACGGACTGCATAAGGTAAATTTGGCCTTGATGAAGAATGTACAAAGAAGAATGATGAAGAGCTGTCCTTTTGTGTAAGCCTTGATGAAGAATGTACAAAGAAGAATGATGAAGAGCTGTCCTTTTGTGGAAGGATCAGTCTGTGATTGGGAGCAAATGTTGTCAAGGAGCAGGTGTAGATGTGGGAGAGGTAGGTGGTTTTCGCAAGAGCACGTGCTGCTAGCACAAACACACGTGCGGCTAGCACAAACACTGATGCCAAGACAACATGTTTGTCGTTTTGGCCAGTGTTGCACACCCCGACGTCGGCGGCCGTTGACTGGTCGGCTGCCGACCCGCCAACCGGTCGGCTGGTCGGCACCTTCCCGTCGGGGGTCGTCAGCACTCCGCAAAAAAAGAAGGAAAACAAAGTTGGTCCAGAACCCCTAATAACCCCACCAACACCCCCATAGCGGCCCCCAATACCCCCGTACACCCCCCCAACACCCCCAAACCGCCCCCAAAACCCTTGTTCAACTCCTCCATACCTCCCCCATCCCCAAAAGTTTCTCAGCAGATTTGGGCTGTACTCAGCAAGCGCAGCACAACCCCCAACTCAGATTTGAAGAAAATCGGTGGATGGTTGTTTTCTGACTGGTCGGCAGACCGCCGACCGTCGGCCCTACTGGTCGGCTGCAATATGGTCGGCGGTCGGGGTCGGCGGTCGGCAGGTATGCAACCCTGCTTTTGGCATTTTTAGCTATCTTCCTCTATTGTGCAGACACTGACATGAAAACACTGCATTTTGTCCTTTAGGCAGTGAAGTAGATGTCTTCTTCAAATAGTGCACTAGGTGATTCATATGCATCATCATATATTATCTGAGTCGTGGCATTAGCAATGCTTGTCATGTCAATCGTTCATTGAATCATCATGAGTTTGGGGCCAATCAATAATCACATATTTTGGGTGGTCATTTCTCTGTTTGGGACTGGCATGTCTTATGATGGAATTTTTTGTGCAAATATTTGAATTATATTTCCCTCCATGTTTTTTTCAGGTTGGCCTTCTGATTTGGGCGTCTGGTTATTCTTGCACGTAACTGGTGTTGCTGGATTTTTTTTTTTTTTAATATCGTGTGTGCCGAAGAAAAAAAAAGTGAAAAGCTAACACTGTGCGCCTGTGGTTCCTTTTTGTTGTCCTTGTGTCTTGGCTCGTTACAGATCTTGGTGATGGCAAGGAGGTGGTCTTGCTGGGCACGTGACAGCGACAACCAATACTGTGCCGATGATGTAGGAATCTACTTACTCAGTACTCTTTTTGTCAAATTTGTTTTCATTTGTTTTTGGTATTCAGAAAGAAAAAGCAATAGAAATCGAGAGCAACTAATACTAAAACCTTTTTAGTAGTAGTAGTTGCTCTTGATTTCTTATTTGGTTTTGTTTTTTGTTGTGATCCGAACATTACAAATTAATCATTTATCATTTCTGAAGCCTTTTGTCTGCTTACTTTTGTTCTAGTGTTACCCTGACAGGTTACCTGGACTGTCCAGGTTCTTGGATGACCTGTCTGGCAAACCTGCACAGATCAGAAAAGGCCCTGGAGACATCTTTTCAGTGTCTGAAGGGGTAAAATGGGGTCTGAAGGGGTATGAAGGAGTGCTGAATCACACAAACATTTCTTATGCAATTAAACCACACTGGAGAAGCTCAGTTTAGAAGGCAGTGAACTCTCATGACCAGCATGTATAGGGGGACCTGACAATTAGTGGACATGACAGAAGTCTCTTGATGATGACAAGCCCTCTTGTCACTTCCTGACAATCAAGACAACTTGAATATCAGTTCTCTGCTCTTGGTGGTCTCCTCGCCAGCTTATTTGATCATATACTCTATCGACTACCCTAGCCTGCACTACGCCAATGTAGAACGCCACAGAGTACATGCTGCCCCCACCAATGCCTGGATGGAGAATGCATTATACTGGAGCTCTTCTGGGAAGCGTCAGGTATATACCTTGCTCTTGCTCCTAGGATCTCCTTGCCTTGAACCGCCTCTCTCTCTCTCTGTCTTAGGTTTCCAGCTATGGCTGGCGCATCCTCTCCTCCTGGTCAGTGGTGCCTCCGCTGGTGCTGTGTGTCAAGTGTTGCTGTGCTGAAGCAGCCTGGCGGCTTCTACCTGACCTTTATGTGTCGGGTTGATTGCCTCCTCCATCCCGAGACCGTGATACTGATGGGTCGGTAGGCACTTCCTTCCCGTCTTTCCAGGATGTGGCTGTGGCCTAATGGGACCGAGGTTGTTCAGTCCTGAGCCCGACTTTGCCTCAGGGTCACACCAAAATTCTTTACCAAATTGAAAGTAAATCATAAGAAATAAAAAAATCTTTTTCTTTTTCTTTTTTTCCCCCCTCTGGACCAACCAGGAAAGTGGTCCCGAGCCATCCTGGTGGCCTAGCCGAAAATTTGACATTGTGCATGCAGACATCTGGGCTCCCAGACAACTGTCTGCGCTTGGCGTCCAGGTCTAGATCTGGACAACTCTTTAGGTGGTTTTGGTTCGAGAGACCATGTGAGTTCGTCCCAAATGGTACACAAATGTACCTGTAGGTAAACAGGAATGCGCTTAAGTTCTGAACACTGTGCACATGTTGCTGTCGAGAAACAGGTCATGGGTCAAATTCCGAATTGTACACACATGTAGCTGTCAATGGACAGGTCATGAGCTCAAATCTTAAATAGTGCACACCGGTAGCCATGGATAAGCAGCTCATGAGCTCAAATACTGATGACAGACAGCACACTGCTGTCCATGATTTTCGGCACGGTTGTTTCAGGACACTGCTGCGTGGAACATGGCAGACAGCCGGTCTATGTGAGGAGATATCTGTCTGCTGGAGAGGACAAAAGTCCGTGTTTGCTGTCCAGGTCCAGACGGGTGTAGAGCCAGTAGACTAGTGTGTGTGTGTGTGTGTGTGTGTGTGTGTGTGTGTGTGTGTGTGTGTGTGTGAGAGAGAGAGAGAGAGAGAGAGAGAGAGAGAGAGAGAGAG